CACACACACACACACACACACACACACACACACACACACACACACGGCCCCCAACCGACACCCCTGCGCCCTGCGCAAACGCACTCAACGCGCTTAGCTGCATTCAATGAACGGGGTCCAACGCGTTCAAAAACATGAACGTGAACCGCGAGTTAATTGAACCCGCGGCAACACAGCTTGGCTTGGCTGGCAGTCTAGATACAACGATGATGACTGCGCAACACCAAGCTATCATGTGCGGTATTGCAAGCATAGAGATAAACGACTTGACAATACTTAGAGCCGGTTAACAAGAAATTCAATCAATGACAGTGAGAATCTGATCAATCAACCAAGAGACCCTATTATCGAGTCAAACCCATGAAAATTCGACTATTGATTCGGGAAATCCACTTCGGACAAAGAGAGAGGATGTATTTAACCTTGGTTTTCCCGATGTTTATATATACATATGTATAAATTTCATAACATGGACATATGCACTAAGTTCATAACATGGACATATGCACTAAGTTATTGTTGTTTCCAAACGTAGTATTGCCAAGTCGCCTTTATGAGGCCAATTGCTTTTCGGATTGTCGCTTACTCTTTTGTTTCGTTCAATCTGTTTGGATTTGTTGCTGATCAAAGTTAGGTTCGTTTAAAGTCAGGTTGGTCTTACTTATGTCCGCTATGTTCTACTTATGTTGATTATTTGTGAATACAGTGAAGTTCAACGTCTAGCTTATCAAACTAGAGAAACACTTTATTCTCTTCATAATGAAAAAAAAGCAGAAAAGGCAATCGTCAAGAACACGTGTTGTAATGTCCACTATGAAGCAAAGCAAACATCATCGACAAACAGAGTCTTCGTCTTCGTGGGAGTCTCCGAGCTCGCGACCTCCACCGCATGCTATACAACTGTTCGTGCTTGTCCCGCAGGCATCACCACAAACGGTCTTACTTTCACCACGGTTTGCGAAGACACGGACACAGTCAGCAGCTGTTGCTAAAAAAACGCCACAGTAGCGTAGGCGCCCATCGATCTGCAGGTGTCTCAACTTCGTCCTATTCATACTCGTATTCATATTGTTTGTCATACAACTTATTCTTCTTCACAATCTGCTCCATTCAACGTTTCGCTCTAGCTTTCCCTGATAATGGCGGCTTGAAAAATGTACGATTTTCAATTTCGTTTGAAGTTCGATATGTCCATTGGTTGTTCCTATTGAAATTGGCATAAACATATGGTAGTCTTCCCAAGTCAATACCTGTTGTGTCTTGATATTTTCTTCCCTAACATATGATGTTATTATTTTTGTTTTTTTTTCCAATTACAAAAGAAACATTCCTTTTTGTGGATAGGTTTGTAGATTCTAATGTTTTTTATATGTTTTATTTATGAGATTCGTTGGATTGCTTTGTCGATAGTTAACAGCATGTCGTGTCATTGTATTCTTATAGTAATTATTGCGCACAGTCGTCTATTAGCTGTGATGAAGAGTCTATGTTATGGACGTGATGGTCAATGCAAATTGCTATGTCCAGTTGCACTGCCCTTCGCTCGTTATGCACTTTTGGTACATTCCACGACCAGAGCTGATTGGATGATACATGCATTGATATATATATTGAATTTTTTGTTCCTTTGTTTCCAAACGTTTAATTTGCATGATGTTATACATATACTTTTGTCATTGCTTGCTAAGACTACCGTGTCGTACATCATTTGCTCATAACATGTGTTGCAGGGTTGCCGTCTGGTCATTTCAAACGCAAGTTTTTTCCTTTTACATGTAAATAACAGTCATTGGGCACTGTTATACTACATTGTCAAAACTTTGTAGCATCTGCTCTCTCTCTCTCTCTCACACACACACAACCCTGTTATTGTCTATCTCTCTTCTTCCCTTTTGTTCTTATCGTGCTCCACGTTTGTTCTCTGTCTTCTACTACTTTTGTTTCTTTACAAGGCTGAAACTAATACACAATGCCATGACAACATGCGGATTTCTTTTTTTCGTCCACATTGCATAGCATATCGTCAATTTTACTTCATTCGTAATTCTCTATGCGGCGGTGGGAAAGCTAAGCAAACACGTACAGAAACTCTCACTCAGCGGTAGGAGCGTCTGTCTAACCAAAGAGTCACAGCATGTTTATGCAAAGCAAATGAAACCGAAAGCGCTCACAAAGAGCACTTGAATCGAGATGCAACATGGCACAGACAAGCACGGTGAAGAAAAAGAAACGTAGAGCGTTCTCTCGGAACCACCACCTCTGCGCAGCCTACGGCCCTACGGAGCCTTTGTCTGACTTTAGTTTGGTTGTCGCAATGGAGCATATGCATACAAATACGCTTTTTCGAGAGGAGTGCTTAAAAAAAGGACGATCAAATCACAAGTTGTTAAAAAAACATGAGTCGATCCTAAAGAAACAAACACGTCTTAAACGTGATGCGGAATCACATCGTGAATAATTACCGAGAAATTAACAGACCAAGCCAAAACCTTCATCTCTGAAGCCAGTGAGACTCCAACATTTGACTCATACTAAACATTAAGTCGTTGCCTCAGCTACGCAAGACCGTTTGACAACGTTCACTCCTCTACTAAGCGTACTAAAACATTCTCATGA